TTTTTTTTTTACTGTCGACGTGCTTTGTTTGCTTTTTCTGCACCTGATCTGGCATGTGTTATATACCTTTATCCACACCCTGTTTCTTACTCTCTTCTTGAGCTTCTTACTCCCAGGTCTTTCCCCACTCTGTCCTCCCTGTTTATTTTTATCCTTCTGTTTGACTGGCACCCATCTCTTTGCTCAGTGTTTGAAAAGCAGTATCATTCCCAAGCTAGTGTAAACATCAACAGATGGCTAATAAAAAGCAATCACCTGTTATTAAATGCTAATTTTGAAAGCCATCAAAATCTGGAAAATGACTGAAGTGTATTTGCACAGCAGCTGATACTTTCATAGATTTTTCCCCCTTTGTGTAGCAAAGTAACATTTTACAGTATAACAGCTTTTAATTTGCATATGCCAAAATGAAGATCATACATGTGTTTGTATTTGTAATATATAACATAGCTGCAACATTTTCAGTCCAGTCCTTGTACCTGGCTATTTTCAGAGGATTGTTTTTATTAAGCTTCTTAACAAAGTATGATCTATAAAGTATTCAAGCATAAAAAAGTAGTCTAACTTAAGGGATGAACCAGTGTTGGGTCTATATATATATAACAGGTGTATTAGCAAAGAACCAATTTTAAATGACATCTTTAGGCACTTTTTACTAACAGCTTGTCACACACGCACATAATTCGGTTCAATTTCTTAACTTGAATCTACAAAAAAGGCCAAATATGACACAGTTTGACAGGCATAAAATAATATTCCATAGTATTCCCAAACCTGGTAGCTGAAAACATAGCTTGGCACAGTGTGCAGTGTCTCCTGAGGAAATGGGACAAATGGATGATGAAAGACAAAGTGGCAGGCCTAAAACGTATCTACAGCCGATGAACTGTACTTGAAAGTAATGTCCTTAAAAAATATGGAAAAAAAAAAAGACGTGACATAGGAGCAGAGAAGTGCATCTGACCTTTCAGCTGATCTGTCTGCAATTCACTGAAACCTCATCCAAAATCTTCTCATGTAAAGGATGGCTGTAAAGAAGCCATTCTTCTGGAAGGGAAAAAGGCTGAGGAATGCCAAATTGCACAAGAACTGGCCTGAAAATCAGTTTGACATTTTTGGTGGAGGTGGTTAGGAGCGAGGTGCAACAGTGAGTGTCTACATCCAGCTGCAAAACACGGTGGAAGCTCTGTCACGATTTGGGGGTGCATTTCAGCCAGCGGTGTTGGAGATGATGTCAACGCTGATGGAATTATGAACGAAGAAAAGCACCATCAGATTTTGATCCAACATGTAATACCACCTGGAAAATTGGCAACAGTTCTTTCGCACAATGGTGATTGCAAACACACTGCAAATGCAGTAAAAGCAAACCTGGACAGGAAAACACACAAGGGAACATTTTTGGCCATGGACTGGCCTCCCCAGAGTCCGGACCTCAACATTATTGAAGCAATCTGGGATCATCCCGACAGAGAATAGAGAAAAAGGCAGCCAGAGAAAAGCTTTGAATAGCCTTCAGGAAATCTGGAGAACTTTTTCTTGTAGAGAGATTACAAGAGATCTTTCCTAAGAGAGTTCACACCAAATATTGACTTCCGGGCTTGTTAGAACTGTACAAACTTATATATCGTATAAATGGTTGCACATTCAAGTGCAATAAATTGTTGCATCTATTTCCCATTTTTCCAGCAATATTTAAGGAAATGAAATTAATTCATTTAGATGACCTTTACAAATAAGGCTTTTCACATCATCTTTTCCAGTAAATGTAAGAAATGAAAGTTGGTGCTTACAAGCATTTTCTCTTTCTTCCTATTGGCTTTCAAGGAGCCTCCACAACAAACTAAGGTTGGGGACCGGCTCGTCCTCCAGTCTGACTGACCTCTCCCAGGCAAAGACCCCAACAGGAGGTGGGGAGAAGGGAGGAACAGAGGAGAGCAGCAGAGACAAAGGGACCCAGCAGAGGAGGGCCGGGGCTAACGCCACCTGGAACAGGTTAGCCCTGTCTATTATAACCAATGCCAGTTTATATTTTAGTGAATACTTTATTTTGTTAATGGATAAGGCATCACACATTTTTACATGAACAAGTGCTTGTGCATGTGTTTCCTTTACTAGTGGGAAGCTCTGTCAGTGCTGTTCTCCATGCTATGAATAGGACAGTCTCCTTTCACATACACATGAAAATACATATACGCACATGGACATCAGCTCTTTCTGCCTGCCTTCTTCCCTCAGGGTCCATCATTACCACACTTTATTTCCATCCATCCATCCCTTCCTCACTCCCTCCTCCTTTTTTCCCGTTCTTCTTTGGATTTCTTTCTTCTCACTCTTTTGTATGGTTGTTTCTAACGGTGTTTCTGCTTTATCTAACACTAAACATCACAGAGTAGAATGCAAGAGCTGTCAGTTTGCTGGGTAGCTGTAAGGCTATGTGAACAAATTAAACTGGACGCAAACCTTCAGTCAAAAAAGTTCATGCCCGTCTCACTGTAGTATGTTTTACCTTTCCGATGGCCTTCCTTTGGTAAAGAAACCTTTTCAAAGTTTATTTTTAACCAGTTCTTTTGAGGTGGCTTCAAGAGCTCACCGATTGTTCAAACGGCACAATTAAAATAAAATAAATGCATGTATGTGTGTCACTCTTTCTAAATGCATTTCGCCTCTCCGTGTGTTTATTTCTAGCATCCACAATGCAGTAATCTCAGTTTTTCAGAGGAAGGATCTGGGAGAAAATGAACTCTACAATCTGAATGAAGGTGTCAGGTAAGCTGTCTAGTTTTATGTCTCTTGCTGGCCTTTACACCAGCACCCTGAACTTTTACCCTCAGCTGGTTTGTATTTTAGAATATTTGATTAAATGATCACTGCTAAAGCTTTGATTTCCCATCTTACCTTACTGCACCAGAATATTTCTTACCTGAAACATATATAAACATGCTTACAAGTTAACACAGGCATATTATACTGTTCATAAATTGGATTTACCTTAAAATTGCTTTAAAGAAGAGACACTGTATCCTTGGATGGAAATACAGAATCTGTCATTTTAGTGTATTTAATCACACAGTGTTTGTTCTTTGAGCTGCTGATGTTCAATCATCATACTGAGTCAGTGTTAGCCTTTGCTAACTGTGGAAAGTTTTATTGAAATTTCCAGATGTTATGTATGCAGTGTGAGCAGCATCTTTTCTCATTTCCTGAGTCTGATGCTCCGTAAACACAGCATTCTGCAAACTCATTACATCTGGTTCATTTCCAAGGAGGTATCGCTGATGATGTGTGACTGTAAGCATATCGCTTCATGTCCAGTATCCACTCATGTGCTGTTATTATAACCATTGCAGGCAACTGCTAAAGACTGAGCTGGGCTCCTTCTTTACTGAGTACCTTCAGAACCAGCTGCTCACCAAAGGAATGGTCATTCTGAGGGACAAGATTCGCTTCTATGAAGGTAAACACAACCTATTGAGAAAAAAGAACGTATATACAGAGTGAGAAATTTGAACCTTTATTTCTATGATGGTATATCATGTTTTGAATAAAGAAATGGCTGCTAGAGACTGATGTTTAAACAGTTTGATTACAAGCTTAAAATGTAGACATAAAAGGGTAAAAAATAACATCACGGTTGTCCCTTTAACCTTATAAAATATTTCTTTAAAGCTGTGAGATGTCAGAGCAGATTTACATGGATAGAATCTCTAATTATGCAAGTTTGTAAGTTTTTAGTTTGGATAAGAATGG